AGTCCCTTTTCCCCTTCATATCATTAGGATAAGTAATTATCATTTCCCATTAACTTGGAGTCTCCGCTTAAGGGCACTCTAGTGGAATAATTAGGTTTACTATATCTGGCACTCCTCAAGGGAAGTTTTTTTTTTACTGCCTCGAGTGCCACTTACGGGTTCATGTGGATCTTATCTTGTCATCTTTTTTTTTTTCTTTAAGTGGGTTCTGCTATCTTTGTGGGTTCTGCTATCTTTGAGTGGGCTATCTTCCAGTGGGTTCTATCTTCAGTGGGCTATCTTCAGTGGGTTCTGCTAACTTCAGTGGGTTCAGTGGGTTTCTGCTGCTATCTTTAGTGGGTTCTGCTATCTTTGAAATGGGTTCTGCTATCTTTAGTGGGTTCTGCTATCTTTAAGTGGGTTCTGCTATCTTTAGTGGGTTCTGCTATCTTTAGTGAGTTCTGCTATCTTTAGTGGGTTCTGCTATCTTTAGTAGGTTCTGCTATCTTTAGTGGGTTCTGCTATCTTCAGTGGGTTCTGCTATCTTTAGTGGGTTCTGCTATCTTTGAAGTGGGTTCTGCTATCTTTGCGAAGTAGGGTTTGCTATCTTCAGTGGGTTCTGCTTTAACTTCAGTGGGTTCTGCTATCTTCAGTGGGTTCTGCTAACTTAGTGGGTTCTGCTATCTTTAGTGGGTTCTGCTATCTTTGGTGGGTTCTGCTATCTTTAGTGGGTTCTGCTATCTTTAGTAGTGGGTTCTGCTATCTTTAGTGGGTTCTGCTATACTTTGGTATCTTTAGTGGGTTCTGCTATCTTTGAGTGGGTTCTGCTGCTTTGCGGTAGGTAGGTTCTGCTATCTTTAGTAGGTTCTGCTATCTTTATTAGGTTCTGCTATCTTTAGTAGGTGCTATCTTTGGTAGGTTCTGCTATCTTCAGTGGGTTCTTTAGTGGGTTCTGCTATCTTTAGTGGGTTCTGCTATCTTCAGTGGTTCTGCTATCTTTAGTAGGTTCTGCTATCTTTGTGGGATTCTGCTATCTTTAGTAGGTTCTGCTATCTTTGGTAGGTTCTATCTTTAGTAGGTTCTGCTATCTTTAGTGGGTTCTGCTATCTTCCAGTGGGTTCTGCTATCTTTAGTAGGTTCTGCTATCTTTAGTAAGTTCTGCTATCTTTAGTGGGTTCTGCCATCTTTGGAAATGGGTTCTGCTATCTTTAGTAGGTTCTGCTATCTTTAGTGGGTTCTGCTATCTTTAGTGGGTTCTGCTATCTTTAGTGGGTTCTGCTAAGGTTCTGCTATCTTTAGTGGGTTCTGCTATCTTTGAGTGGGTTCTGCTATCTTTGGTTCTGCTATCTTTAGTGGGTTCTGCTATCTTTAGTGGGTTCTGCTATCTTTAGTAGGTTCTGCTATCTTTAGTGGGTTCTGCTATCTTTAGTGGGTTCTGCTATCTTCAGTGGGTTCTGCTATCTTAACGCTTGAGTGGTCAGTCTGTACTAATAACCTGGATATAGAATGTTGCTTATGGAAAGGAAGGGAGAATGATGGGGAGAGAGTGTGCGTGTGTATGAAAGAAAGAGGGAGAATGTGTGTGTGTTTGTGTGTGTGTATGAAACAAAGAGCAAGTGAGGATATTTATGTGTGCATATAACAAAGAGAGAGAGAGAGAGAGAGAGAGAGAGAGAGAGAGAGAGAGAGAGAGAGAGAGAGACTCGTACACATAAATGAACTCTGTGACACTGAGGATGGCAGTTACGATATGACACAACTGAGAGTGGAAATAATTGATGAAAACCGACTGAAGGTAGTGAAGACAGTGATAGTGAAGATGTTGATAATGATGAGACGACTGGGAGTGAAGGTGACACAGTAATAGTGATGATAATGATAACGAAGAGTGAAAATAATAATGATAACGTCGCCGGTAGTGAACATGATGTAATTAATATTGACAATGGTGGAATTATCAACAAAGACAAACTGATATTAATAATAGAAACTAAAAGAAGAAGACAATTATGGCCAAATACCAAACGAAATATAATATTGATAATATCACTTAAGAGTAATCATACACACACACACACACACACACACACACACACACACACACACACACACACACACACACACACACACACACACACACACTAAAATGACCAATGAAATAGCATGTCATGTCAAGCAGCGATTATGTCACCCACTGTGTCATCCACATAATCTCTCAAACTCTTTAGTATTTATTTACTTACACACTATTAATACCGTAAATACTGCCTTGTAATACAGTAATTTCCCCGCCCTCTCCCTGCCTCCCTTAGTGACGAGACATGATAATTCTCCCCCCTTAATCTTCGTACCCGAGGGAACATTCTACCTTCTTGTTGGAGCTATTCTTTGACGTGATAACTCTGCGTTGTTGTATGATCATTCTTCCCCCTTAGACGTAATATGATCAACCTCTTCATGGTGTAAAAAAGATCATTCTTCCACTCTAACGTCATATGATCGTTCTTACCTTGGCTTAATATGATCATTCTCTCCCTGACGTCATGTGATCTCTCTCTCCCTGCAGGCGTAAGATCATTCTTCCACTCTTACATCCTGTGATCATTCTCTCCCTTCTGTAAAATGATCATTCCTCCCTCCTAACGCCCGATGATCATTCTCCCCCTCTCCCCTGGCGTAACATAATCATTCTCCCACTGTCAGATCAACATTCTCTCTGATCCTACTTGAGTGTGACGTAATACAGTCTTCACATCCTGCTAAGTGTCATTTAACAAACACTTAAATGGCGTCGTGTTCTCAAAGGCTGCTATTATCCCATGACGAAATAGCGTCATTATCCTATTACAGTGTGGATTAGTCACGCTGCCAGACCTTCCCGGTACCATGAGGATGACCAATTGACCATAGTTTGTCGAGATGTTACTTGGGTATGTGAAGGGTTGAGTGTGTAGGGGGGAGGATGTGTGTGTGGGGGGCTTTGATTATGTATTCAAGTGTGTGTGTGTGTGTGTGTGTATGTGTGTGTGTGTGTGTGTGTAGGGAGGGTGAGCTGGGAAGAGGAAGGAAGGGAGTTTGTTGAGGAGCATAATTACAAGGGCTTGAGGCTCTTTACATGAAGGGTGTTAATTAAGTTTAAGTGTAGTGTATCATTAGTTAGTGCTTGGGGAGGGAGTGTGTTACTGAGCTTCTATATGCAGGTCTAACGTCTACACACACACACACTCACACACACACACACACACACACACACACACACACACACACACACACACACACACACACACACACACACACACACACACACACACACACACACACACACACACACACACACACACACACACACACACACACACACACACACACACACACACACACACACACACACACACACACACACACACACACACACACACACACACACACACACACACACATACACACACACACACACACTTGAATGTATATATATATATATGTGTGTGTTTTGTATTGCGTGTTAAATAAAGATACACCAACATGAATATTGTACAGTATACAGTATGTACTTGCCATCCTTAAACCGACACACGACACAAATGCTTCACTCACCATTATGTTTTCACGTGACACGACATATAGACACAATATGACATAAACATGCCGGTGGGAACGTTTCCAAATATACACACTTGTGCTCATGGACATTCATTCTGAGTTTCTTTCTTTGTCGTTCTGTCTGTCTGTGTGTGTGTGTGTGTCTCTTTTCCAGATGTGTGTGTGTGTGTGTGTGTGTGTGTGTGACATTTTTTCCCCGGACACCAAAACACTTTGCTGACAGTCGTGTCTTCCTTGTGCATTACTGTCACACATAAGACTCACTTGATAATAAGACGGTAATTGGATTATCTGGATGGCTTGACAACACCTCAGAGTTGAGAGAGAGAGAGAGAGAGAGAGAGAGAGAGAGAGAGAGAGATTTATAAACCCTTTTAAACGTGTTCTTTTATCGTATAGTAATAATACCCCAGCGATGCTTTCCCCCACCCCTATGGCTTACGTTGTAGTATATATATTTACTAGTCGTAAATCGTAACACCTGTTGGTCAACTCTAATTACGTTATTATGACGTGATCACCTGTTGACCTGCTCTTTCCTGGCAATAGATGACGGATTCCCTTTAATAACATTGGTTTGTCAAATAATGTTTCTGATTCTGATAGCGATCACGTAATAACTTTTTGTAAATAATAATAATAATAATAAAAAAAGAATAAATAAATAAAATAATAATAATGATTATACTACTACTACAACTACTACTACTACTACAACAACTACTACTATTACTACTACTACTACTACAACAACTACTACTACTACTACTACTACTACTACTACAACTACTACTACTAATCTATTTAAAAGATGAAACAGCGATATACAGTACAGTAAATGTTAAGTCATTCGAACGTGGGAAGGAAGGAAAGTCTGTACACCGAACCTCTCACACTTATTTATATTTTCACTTTCATAATTTCTTTCGTGATTTTCTTTCTTTTGTTTGATTTTATATTACATAAGACTGACGATATCTTTTTAATTTTGTAAGACTTGACAGCTTTCTTGGAAACTCATATGAGGATTTATATTTTGACTTTGTCTCATAAGGAGATGATCCCAGAGACAAGATGACATTGACTGAATTCCTCGTGGTAAGAATAGATATAACTGCTCGAGGAAAATTTTGACTTACACGAGGAAAATCTTGACTTACACGAGGAAAATCTTGACTTACACGAGGAAAATCTTGACTTACACGAGGAAAATCTTGACTTACACGAGGAAAATCTTGACTTACACGAGGAAAATCTTGACTTACACGAGGAAAATCTTGACTTACACGAGGAAAATCTTAACTTACACGAGGATGATCTTAACTTACACGAGGATGATCTTAACCATTCCCCGTGCAACAAGAATATAACCCCCCACAAAAGATAACAACTGCTGTACATGAGGATGACTAATGACTCACCTCCATCAAACTCGACGCAGAGGTGGCCGGAACAGCACTGCTCGTTGGCGGTACAGCTGCGTCCTTCACACACCTCCTCCAGGACGTCCTCACCGGCCAGCAGTGCCTCCATCAGCTGCTCTCGTGGGGACACTAGCCTCTGTGGATGGGAGAAAGGGATAGATGGTTAGTTGAGTTAGACATAATTAGGTTAAACTTCTAGCCTCTGTGGGTAGGAGAAAGGGATAGATGGTTAGTTTAGCTATTTGAAGGGTTTCCTGGGTAGACGCTAACCTGTGTGAGGGGAGAGAAAAATAGATGGTTGATAACGTGGTTGGACGAGTTGGATAATACTATAGATGGGGGAAGAAAGGGCCATTGATTAGTTAAACTAGTGGGGGAGCTTGGGTGGTAAGTTAGGTAACACTTGTGTATTGGAGGGAGGCTAGTTAGGTTAGTGTGAGAGAGACAGACAGACAAAGCTAGTGTGACTAATAGTACACCGTCTCCTCCAATAATAACCCGGGGGAAATCGAAATTAGAATCACCCATCTTAGTAATTGCTCATTAACTGATTAATTGCCTCAAGCTGTCCGGTGATTGATGGAGATGATCAAGTTTCTCCGAATAATTTCTGAATCTGTCGTCATCGTTCATACTGATCCTGATCTGTTATACTCAAAGTTGGTGTACATGACAAGACCTAAGAACAGTGTTATATCTTTTGTATATTATGGAATCATGGATCAGCGTCTGTTTGTCCATCTGTCGTCAAGAATCTTATGACGTGGGGTAATCTTATCTGAAGGGGGGGGGGATGAAAACAGGTAAAAACAGGTGTTCTTATTTTTAAGGAGGATGGTAAGAAAGTTGTGTACGTCATACGCCCGCCAGTACTGTTTACCTGTTATAGAAAGTATGTGACGGCTAATTCAGCTATCTCCCAAACTGTCGTACGGCACTATGAATGAGTGAGGAATGACGATGAGAGATGGTGAAGTACCCAGTTTATTGTAGTTTAAACGATAATCATAATAATATTAATAATAATGATACTGAGAACAATAATAGTAATAATAGCAATAATAAAGACGAAGAAGAATAAAATATAAAAAAATGAAGAGGAAAAAAAGTAAGTGTACATTAATACGCTGGGTTAAACACTATAGTAATCATAAACAGGTTGTTTTTCACCATCACAGCGCCACAGTCCACCATAACTGTCACTATAACTCACGCGTTAAGTACACTAGCGGAGCTCTTCTTATTTGGTGCAGCACGAGTAGTTGTTTTTGATTGGTATAATTACTTTTGTTTATCGTCGTCCAGTTAATCTACGTAACTTATTTTGCTACAGTAATACATTTTTTGCTGCCACAGAGTGATACAATTTTGCTGAGTATCGTCTCATTAAATAAATTACAACTACAGATCAAAAGAATACTTAGTTGCGTTGGTTAGTTCTCAGGGTACAGTAGTGGAGTGACTGGCTGACTGAGAGATCTTTTCCACCAGTCTCCCCCTAACGCAACTTGTGCCAGGTCTTCGAGATTGGTGCAAGTTACAGGAGGTTGTAGTAGACTGATTGTGTGTGTGTGTGTGTGTGTGTGTGTGTGTGTATGTATATTTGTGTGTGTGTATCTTCTATTGTGTGTGTGTATATATTTGTGTGTGTGTGTATATTTGTGTGTGTGTGTGTGTATCTTCTATTATAGAATTGGGTTATGCAATATGACAATGGACGAAGGATTTTGACAACCCTATCCAGACAACAGGAGTCACAGTGTTCGTTCTGAAATTCATCGACCCCCGCCCGCCCGGCCCTTCCAGTAAAGATAGTGTTATGAGTGAGTGTACTTCAGGCCGTGTGTACTGTATCTGTGTAAGAGAGAGAGAGAGAGAGAGAGAGACTGTACATAAAACAAGTGAACAGTGGTGTTGTACTTTGTTCCGTCGGTGCCATTATATTACATGCTTAAAGATGATAGGCGCCAGACATAGAAATAATCAGTCACCTTCTATCTCTCTACACACACACACGCCATACCATCCATCCCTCCATACCAACACACAACCACCCAACCAAGCACATAAACACATTTACAAAAAAAAACAATAGATTTTGTTCTTTGTATCAACGACCTAACAGTTTTTTTTTCACTTGGTTAGTCGAATTCCATCTGCACATTTACATACACAACGAATCGGCATTTTTACGCCTCAGTTGTTCGTTTCGTTTAGCATTCCTTTTGTTACATTGACGTTGTATAGGACGAAGTGTAAATTTGGATACATTGTGAAGAGAATTTTTTTGACACACATACTGAGGGTAGAAAGATAGATAGATAGATAGATAGATATAGAAGAATGGGTAGATAGTTATACACATACGTACATAACAGTAATAATAATATTGGTTTCCCTTCGTGTAATGAGGATGGCCGGCCATAGAGCCACCAAGGCGGGAATTTGTTAAAGGTGTAGAAGCTGTCGCCAACACAACCCGCACCCTGAGTTAACGAGTTGCATGACCCGGTGTCAAGGAATAGTCCGAGAAGACCGGACAACTTGCCAACTGCACTGGCTAACCAATACCCCGGAATACGATCCGAAAATCGATTAACATCCAGGTTCCCAATTACTGCTGGGTAGACAGAGGCGAATGGCGTAAAGAAACTTGCCCATAGTTTCACCCTGCCCGGTGATCGAACACGGGTCCACTCGCTTGCGAGGCGAGAATGCTGACCATTACACCACAGGTCGCCATATACATAACAGTACATACATACATACATACTACTGTTCTTCCCTTCACCACTACCCTAATTACTAAAGCCCTTCACCACTAACTTCATCACCATTTCCCCTCACCACTACTTCACACCACTCCCTCTCCTCTCATTACCTTCAAGAGGCGTCTTATTCTCACGTTTGTTGTACGTAATTCAGTGGTCCGTTAACTACATTATTAACTCCAATTGCCCATTAAACACAAACGATCCCAAATTAACTCAAATTATGGAAGAGTTAATGCCTTTCTTCCGTCTGAATATTCTGCTTCTTATTATTGGGTTTTATTACATTTTCGTAACAATTATCCAGTAAAGAAGATGTTTTTTGTAAATTTATACATCTTGTCTGTGTCTTCTGCAACTGGTGAGAGGAGAGGAGTGTGTCTACAGTGAACCACGTAAAGAGTTAAACAAGATCAACAATGGGACAAGATCGATTGAATAACCTATCGAAGTTTTATATTCATTATCAGATGACTGGAAGAAAATTAATTTCATATGTAATTTACAAATGTGCTTACAAATAGAGGAATAGATTTTATTTAAATATATACCTGTATATTAAAAAAACCAGTGTTGTCATACATAGAAATACAGGAGTTAATTCTATTTTCTGGAGTATTAATTCTAGTGGGACGTTTTTTGAGTAAATTAAATTGCTTCTAGGGGTAACTGTTACAAGTGTTTTATATTTCCACATTATACGAATCTAGAACTTGATCTAGCTGGCAATGGGATTAATAGTATAATAGATAAAGTACAGTATATAGTATTAAATATAAGTTTATATGTCTTAAGGAGAATAATAATTTTTTTCTAATAAGGTTTACGCAGGTTATTGTTTTTCATCAGATAAGCTTAAGAAGGTAATTAGTTTTATCTTGTCCAATACATTACTTTTCATATATTAGGAATTTATACTTTCATTCCATTAACTTTTTTAGGCTAGTAATTTTATTTCTTCTCGATTAGTATTTTCGACGAGCAATTCTACTTTTACTCGATTACAGATAGTTAGTAATTTTCCACCACTGGCGTTGATGGTAATTTTTTTTTACCTAATCATCGTACGACCATGTGTAAATCCCAACCCTGGCTTCCACATCAGTTAACAACAGTTTAGGAGTCCATAACGACCTGTACGACACCACGACTACGACTACAAACACCATAACTACTTCTATGTAGCTATAACTACCTCTACAACTTCATAATTACGTCTTCAATACCATAACTACCTCCACACTACCATCACTACTGCTACGACATCATCACAAGGCAATCATCTACATTTGACTCAACAATTCGATTATTCTTTTAAAAATCATTCTTTAGATCCATCCTATTATCCAAGTCTAATTTTCTTGGGTCTTATAGTAAGAGATTCGATCTTGTTGAATGGCGAAGAATTGCAGCTTCTTGCCACCGTTCAAGAGGTGAATGTGAGGTTTACTTTACTCGACTTTATTTTGGGAGATCTGCCAGTATGATATTGTATGAAATGGCAGGATTTCATACGTCTGGAAGGTGGTGTACCTATAGAGATCATCTTCTCACCTATTTACCGGGATATTTGCCCTTATTTGATGATGTGGGATAGCAGGATCTTGCTCAGTCAACAGGTAGTCTCAACTTAAACTCAATTCCCTCAGTAATGTCGCTGGATTTCCGTCTCTGTTCGATAGCGTGGTTTAGCAGGATTTTCTGCCCTTGTTTAAAGGGCGGCGTGACCATAAGGGTCATTTTCTCGCCTAGTTTTACCATTGGACATCTGTCCTTATCCTATTGTATGGAAAAGCATCATCTTCCTCTCGCTCATGAGATTAAGTTCTTAGGGATCTTGTAGGTGAGTTCTGGCTCCCTCCCGCTCCTACAATACCTCAAGCCTTACAAGCAGTACCAGACCCAAGTTGGAATAGGGTATTATGTGTGTGTGGGGGGGGGGTGAGGTGGATGTTGGTGTGGTGAGGTGAAGGTGCACTGTGTGGGAGAGACGGTGTTGTGTGTGGGAAAAAAATATAGACTAAATACTAAAAATATATGTAGGAAGAAAAAATACTCCTGTTCAACTCAGCGCCTGATCAAAACAACACAAATTTCTCGCCAGGATTCTATTCATCCTGAAAGAGTCGCTCAGCCACTGAATTATTCCTGCCGGAGCCTTAAGGGAAGAATAATCTATGAAGGATCTCAAGGCTTCCTTAATTTGTATTGCTAGAAAGAGGAAGAGCTGTTCAGATGCAAATTAGGATTGAAAAGGAATGCTCTAGGAGTTGGTATTATGTAAATCAGGTTTGAGAAGGATTAGTCGGAGGATTTGGGAGGATTTTCGTAAGATTTGGTCATGTGTCAATCAGGACTGGGAAGG